GCGAACTCTTAACTTTTCTTGCCTCAGGCGTAGCATGGGATTTCCTGGAAGTTCCAGGATTACTATTTCTTTACGGGTGGTAATTCCGAAAATAAATGGAAACATAGGTAATCAACCACGCTGAATCTCGAGACGGTATTTGTTTTTCAAGAAACTTCCGAAAACTTATTTTAGCTGGAATAACCCAACGCTTTGCCTGTTTTAGAGTAGAATCAAAATATTCATAATCCATTCAGATTCATTCAAATTATGCCAGAATATCGAGATGGACTCGGTTTCAACTACTCAATTTTATGCAGTTCAACAAAAGCTTTCAAAATCAGCAGAAAATACTTTGGTTTTTGAAAAGGTTTTCTAGAAATCTTCCGAAGGACAAGAATGTTTTTTACTATTCTCAAGCAAAAACGTATTGAGCAGGTAAAATAGAGTACTTTTTGATATTTTGGCGTAATTTGAATGGATCTTGAATGGATTATGAATATTTTAATTCTACTCTAAAATAGGCAAAACGTTGGGTTATTCCAGCTAAAATAATTTTTCGGAAGTTTCTTGAAAAACAAATACCGTCTCGAGATTCAGCGTGTTTGATTACCTATGTTTCCATTTATTTTCGGAATTATCACCCGTAAAGAAATAGTAATTCTGGAACTTCCAGGAAATCCCATGCTACGCCTGAAGTAAGAAAAGTTAAGAGTTCGCTTAGTTCACATTTTGGAGAAGGCATTTTGGAATATCTATCTATCAAAAAAACTGCTAGACTGTTATCTCAGTTTTCGAAGATCCAAAGTGGTTGTCCAAAGATCCTCTGAAAAATCTGCTTAAACATTTTTCCAAAAACCGTTTATGTTTTTAAAACTATGACTTCAGGTCTCTTCTTAACATTACCGAAAATCCCAAGTCTGTAGCTCTGACGCTAATTTCATACTGTTTAATTTCTTTTTGTACAGTTTATAAATCGGTTGCACGCTGTTCGCTTACTTTTTATGTCCGAAGACAAACGAATTTTAGTTGACAATCGATATTTGAAAAATGATACTGTATTTTTTAATAACGCTGTACAAATGAGTAAGGATCTTTCGGTGTATAATATCCGTTATTGGCATAAGCATTTTGTGGCCATCCGTTGGAATAATTTATTCCATATTCGTGTATAGTTCCGTCGTTATAATCGATCTTCTTCATTTCATTCTTTGCAAAGTGATCTGGAAATATTTCATATAAGCTCGATATTGCAAAAAGGGCAACGACAATAAGAAAACAATTTATTATGCCAATACCCATTGTTTCCTGTGCAGCTAAACTAGCCAATTTATACAAACAACCATTGGTGTTGAAATCTGTATTACTCGACGATGTCAACTGGCATCCTGTTCCTAGACCACTTGGTACGGAGGATGTAGTTGTACAACAAGATGCTGGCAGATCGATAGTATAAGATCCAATCCAATTCTCAATGTTACCATAGTTACTCTGACGTTTGTGAATGCCATGTGCAAGTGGCGTACGGCGACGGCGTCCAGGTCCAACGGGTCCTCCGTTCTGCCCACTATTATCGTTGTTGTTATTACTACCAGTGGCAATCGAGGTGCGTTGAAGAAAAAAATACCAGTCTGTCCAAATGAATTCGCCACAACACTGGTATTGACTTTGTACTCTGTCCATCACGGTTCTTGCGTCTGAATCTTTCGTATATTTAACCAAAAATAGAAAAAAGAAAATAACTTTTTTGTTGTTGTCGTTGGCATATGACTGAATCTTAGAGTCGTTCGGCACAGTCTCTCATTCTCTTTCAGTGCCGCGCGATACAGAAGATTTCGGAATAAACTACAAGAAAAATTTTTGGTTTCTGTTGATCTATTTTTCTCTCTGATTTGCTACAAATGAAAACTCTAATGCACATATATCTGGCAAATATATTTTTCATCATTTATTCTTGTCACATCATCATTCAGCGTGTCAGAAATTGATTAAAGTGATTACGTACGCGTATACACTATCTAACAGGGATATCTGTGCGGGACAAAGAGAATATCATTGAAAAGTCTGTCATTTTGACTGTCGCGATCGAGACAAAAACAAGTGTCTTATAAGACACTACTATACCTACCATATAGTTATTAAAGCTGTCATCGAGTTCACCTATCGAATTGCCGTTTATAACAAGAGCTGCAATTAGTGAAGCCAAAGCAAATAAGACCAAGACGAATGAAGCGCCAGCAACTATTTTTGCTAATACTCCACGTTTGGTAAACACGGCAAATGCTCCAAATCCACCCACAAGAAGACCCAGAAGACTTATTACAATATTAAAACCACATAAGCCTAATTGTTGTTGAAAAAAATCGCCATACTGCTGCACTTTAGCAATAATTCCTGCCGCTACACCGAGATGGATAACTGACAAGGCAATAACCGCTACAATCTTTGCATATGATACAAACTGCCTATTATACTTGCCGAACATAGTTCGAAGTTGGAGAACTAAACAAAGTAATACGATCAAATATTATAATGTAGTTGTCCACAGAAAAAATATGAGTAATTGTATCTTGTTGGAATGGATCGCTTTACTACAACTTTTCATCGGTCGATTTACGGGCACAAAGAAAATGGTGTCTTTTAACAATTTCACATGATGAAGCTTTCTTAGATAGTACATTCGATAGAGTAAGCATATCGCCGTTAAAATGAGGTGTTTCCCGACTCTGAAAATTAAAATTAAATAGATATCAATCATTACGTGCTGAATTTTTTCTTCAGACTTCTATTCCGAGTTCAGAGAAAAAATGCACGTACACCTCTGTAACTCGCGTCGCCTACAGTCAGAAAGCATCTCTATATTTTCCTCTATTAAATGTACTATCTCAGAAAGTTTCATCTTGTGAGATTATTAAAAGACGTCACTTTTATTTGTACCCGTAAACAGACCCATACATGGCCCTACTATTCAGTGTTGAGAGCAAAGAAAAACTGACCGGCAATTTTCGTCTTTTACTCGGATTATTAGGGACAAGGGGACTTGTACAAACATACATAGCTTAATATATCGTTCAGAAATTAAGGACAAATTCGTCTTGGTGTTTACTTTATGTAAATCGCACTTCAAGGGTATCTCCCAACACTCATTCGCTCATAGAGAAAAAAAAGGATAAATGTTTGCGTGTAAAAAGAATATCGCTTTTTTCCTCATTCTATCGGTAGAAAATCAAACTTTAAGCATATTTTGGCACGTGCTCTTACCTGTAACTTTAGTGACCTATACCTGCATAAGCTTTCATACTTTTCTATGACTTCCAAACAAAACACTTCTATTCAAGTACATTCAACAGACAAATATATTTCATTCAATAGCTTTAAACTCGTCCCATTTTTTTCAACTGATAAGTTTATCGAACACACCTCGAAACGTGCTGATTAATTTACTGGTGTCGTCTACTATCAATGGAGACATCAGTGTAGTACGCTCTCTATCATCCTACAGAATGGATGCAATTTCTTCTCCAAAAGAAGAAATTTTAATTATGATAAGTTAAGGAAATGAACAGCACAAAATTTCTATATTCGCATGAATATCTCACAAACTGATCTAAATCAATTGAAATATATACTTTTAACAAAATTGAAGAAAGTATATATTGCAGTGGACTTCAACTTGAAGCATGGCTAAATACATTTTTAAAATAAATTAAATTCAAATTAATTTTTTTCCGTCTTTGTAAATAGAATAATATATTCAAGTGCATACTTTTGATAAATAAACTTAATTTCATTATCCATAAGAAAAACATGCTATTTGTATACAGAGACAAATAAAAGTACAAATATCACTTATCTCTTGCAAAAAAACTAATTTTGTACATTTTTCACACAAAAAATTCATATGAGTTGATTTTTTGCAATGAATTCAGATTTATTCAAACTCATTTGATAAATCTATACAATTTCTGCGGCTAGTACCGATGTATTTAACTATTACTCTTTTAAAAAAGAAACGTAGCTGGGTAGATTGATTATAACTTTTGAAGAGAAAGAGCTAGAGACATGCGCTTCTCATCGTTGGGTCGAGAACATCGGGGGACGTAAGCGTATGCAAAAACTAGGCTTCCAGTTAAGGTTTACCATGGTAAGCCTTTCGATGCAAAGTCTACGACACTCGGCGTTCCTGAACCGTAAGATAGATTTTGGTCCTCAAACAGTGCAATCGACAGCTCAAATCGAGATCTACAATTCTAGACCAGTCTTAACTCTTCATCGCTCACGAGTCAGGCGCTATACGCATTTTCCCGAGACCACCGATTTCGGCCAGTTGATCTTGGGTAATCATAAAATGGGTCAAGATAGGGTAACTGGCCACGCTGAGTCGAGTGGTGATGTTTATTTTTAGTTTCAAACCGACCTAAAGTCACTATATCAAGAGTTTTGAAATATCTGCACTATACGCAACATAGCGGTAGAATACTTTAA